ATTTGCCTTTTTATGGATTGTGCATCAGTCTTAAAACCAACATGTTCTTTGCTCCAAGATTGATAAGAAAACTCAAGAAGATTTAATTGAAAGAGTGAAATGAGAATATGACCTCAAATGAGATGGATTGAGTCAGTAAGTGGTATTATGGAGACAGGTATTTCAGTAACAGTAAGATTGATTCAGGATAGGACAGGTTTCAGAGCTGTTGTGCATAAGATCGCTATGAGTCTCAGTCAACTCAACAGCACATCACAACAACATATTTATATTAGTCCTTCCAGTTTTCCAAGCAAAGTAACTAGCTTGGAGGAGGGGAGGGGAAAGAAATAGATACCATTAATGCTTATCTCACTTTGTTGTTGTTGTTATGTGCCATCAAGTTGCCTGCGACCCCATGTACAACAGCCTTAAACCTTGCTCTATTCCTTGTCAATCTTATTGTCTTCGACACACCTATCCCCATTACTTCTGTGACTGAATCGATCCATCTCATAGAGGGTCTTCCTCTCCTGCACTGTCATCCGTCTGTCTTCCCAAGCATGATGTCCATCTCCAAGGACTGATCCCACCTTGCAACATGTCCAAAGTATGTCCCACAAATCTTCAGAATCCTTGCCTCCAAGGAGCAGAGCTTTACTCTGTCCAGGATGAACTTGTTTGTATCTCACTTTAGTGTTACTATAATAAATTTGCCTACAGAAAATTAAAATAGAAAAAAACAAACAAACAAAAAAACCCACTTACATTTCAACAAATGCTACCAACAGTTAAGCTTAAATAATTATTGAGTTTGGCCCTGGCCAATGCAGCTGAATAATATTCCTAAAGGAAAGATCTGGTCCCTGAGTTATCTGCAGACCCTTTTTATGTCTACCTGGAAAAAATAAGCATTAGAGAGAGAAAGCATGTACAGGTAGAGTGCATGATCTAATGAGAAGGAGACAGTCTTTGAGGTTTCCCATTATGTCACTGGGCATTATGGATAACCCATCTTCAAAATGTGTAACCATTCCAATGGAGTAGGATAATGAATCTGTGCTCACTCCAAGACCTGGATAGTTGGGTCAAGACATAATACTAGCTTTTGGTCCATCCTCACCAGCCTACATAGGGTGACAGATTGGACTTTGTATTAACTACTCACTAGAAATTATTATTATTTTTTTTATTAAGTAACTAACCTGACCCTACAGTTGTCGGGGTACCAATGTTTCCCAGTGGTGCCATATGTTTTAACATGATTTTTAGTTGTGCATTTTTGGGGAAAAAAGGTCAGATGATATTTTTGTTTTATTATTAAGGACAGTGCTTAGAGGATGATATTTAGCCATCCATCTTTGTTTTAGAAAAGAGACAATGAGGCTATTGAAGCAACAACTATATTCTGTGTGTTTTGTAGAGACCTTAGTTGAGGAAGAGTGGACATTTTCATATTGGTCTTTGAGTGGAACACTGCTGTATTGAACTACCCTTGTGCACAGAGCACTGTATTGTCCACATATTACCCCAGCTTGGCTTGGTGAAGTGACTACTTGCTTAAGAAATGAGCTCCTGATTCTGATCCCAGTTCCTCCCTTGTCATTCCTTTTTCAACTTGAGGAAGCGTCTCGTTCTCTTTATGGCATGCTTCCAACCCCAGTAGCGTAGAATGTCATCTCAGCTAATTAATTAATGATTGCAAAGGGCTTGGAAATTTCCAAGGTCTGAAAAATTGCCAAGGGAGGGCTATTCAGCTTTGTCACTGGCTTTCATTCATTTCCATGTTTTCGATGTGTTTGTTGGAAAACTTACCTCCATGCCTTCAATAGATTATGTTTTCTTACATTGTGAAATTCTGGAAAATTAGGCATTTAACCAACAAGAAGAAGAGATCTACTTAAGAAAGACAGACATATCCTGTATATTTGAGATGAGCTGTTCAGGTTTTCTACATCACTGTACAGTGTAAAAATAAGAAAGAAACGGAAGAAAAAAATAGAAAAGCAAAAGAGGAAGAAGATAAGGTCAAACCTGCAAAGCTTTGACCAATCATGATTATGTTTATATTCCCAGAATGTATTGACCTGTGAATTTACATACTGCAGTTGACTATATTTTTGGAATTCTTTTTTTAAGCTTCTCACCTGAGTTCCTTGGACATATTACTTACAATGCAAAAGTCTTTATAAGACAGGAATTCTCCTTTCTCGCTGGAAATTCTCTTAAAGGTACAATGGAATATTTTTGTCTTTATTATGTTCAGGAAGCTTTAATGGCCTCGCGGTAAGAAGCTGTGCTGTCAATCCTAAAGCATATGCTTTGAGTCCACCAGCTGCTCTGCAGGAGAAAAATGGGCAACCTCCTCCCATGAGATTTACCGCATCTGAAAACCTGTTGCACGGTCAGCTGTGGTTCGGTTCCGACTCAAGGGTCCTCAGCATGATTTTCTGTCTTACTCTTCTTGTTGGGTATATTATCATTACGTGGGAGGATGCGTATCTTCTCCAATATTCATGTAAGATCACTACAAGTGCAAGAGGAAGGACCTTAGGGCCAGTGATCTCTCTCAAATCTTCAGTCGCAGCACTTTAGTCCCGCTATCTTATCATAAAGAGCTCAACTATGTCAGCATCAGTGTTACTTCCCAAATGTGAGCTGGTGTCAGCCAAACTAAGGGTGCGTTGTGATGACTCCACCTTGTGATGACTGTACCCCACAGCATTCTCGGGGGCTGATTTTCCAGTTTTATATAGCCAGGCCTTCCTTTCAAGATACTTTTCGGTAGACAAGAACTTGCATGTTTTCAGTTAGAAGCTAAGCAGGACAACAGTTTGCACTATTCAAGGATTTTATTTCCATCACATTCTCTGAAGTATTGTTGATCTTCCTCTTTCTGAAACCAACTTCTTTTTTCCACTCTTTCTTGGGGAAGCACTCACGTTCTCATTCATGCTGGAGAGTCAGTTATGCCCCTGAGTGAGGTACAGATATGCGAACATCTCTGTGCCCCACAGAGGGATTTTAACACGACACAGCACTTAATACTTTTTTATGTAATGATTCTATTCAAATGACTCTTCTGTGTCTTCTCAAAATAAGGAGCAAATCTTGCTCTAGAATGCAGCCAGTGGTTAAATTCTAGAACTTAAACCTTCTCTAGTAAGTTAGCTTGATTGACCCTAGTAACACAAGCATTAATAATCAGAGTTCACTACAGTTTCTTAGACTTACTGTGCTCTTGAAAGTTTATGTTTCTTCCGGGATTTTTGTATAAAGTATGTCTGTGAGTGTGTGCTGTTAAGTATACAGCATACACCCTGTTAGATTTCGTTGTTGTTGTTAAGTGCCGTCGAGTCACAGGCGACTCATAGAGACCCCATGAAGGAGAATCCTCAACGCTTGGATGTCTCTCATCCTCTCTCCAGGTTCAAATGGTTTCTGGAGGCAAGCTATTACAGAAGTGGATGTTGCTCCTCCTTCCAAGCTTGTTTTAATCGTGGCGCTCCACCCCACTCTCTGTCCACATTGGGTAACCAACCATTAGCGCATTTGACACTTCAGTGTCTTGTAGCATTGCACCCAGTAATGAGACACTCTCTTATAGATTAGAAGCCTTTATTTCTTGGCCGAGGGTTGTCGTCTCCCTACAAAGATGAGAAAACAACCCCCATTAGAAATAGAACATTAAAAAAAAAGAAAAGAAAAGAAATAGAACATATTTTTTGTTTGTCCTTGGTGATTGCCCATGAAAGTGTTTAATCAACTTTTGGATATTTAATTGTAAAATTATGTTTCAGAATTCTAAAGCTATTGTTGTTATGTGCTGTCAAGTCACTTGCGACTCATAGCGACCCTGTGTACAACAGCCCCAAATCCTGCTCTGTCCTGTGACAATCACACTGTCTCTGACACAACCAGTCTGATTTCCCCACTCACTGAGTCTATCCACCTCATCGAGGGTCTTCCTTTCCTGTGCTGTCCCTCCACCCTCCCAAACATGATGTCTCTCTCCAAGGACCAGTCCCTCCTTTCAACATGTC